GATAACAAATAAATATATAAAGCAAGTTATATACAAGATAAACAGGAAATAATTAACAGAGAGAAGGTACCAGAATTAAGAGGGGTTAGGAATGCTTCCAATAAAGGATTGGATTTTAGTTGGGACTTAAAAGGAAGCCAGGGAAGGCAGTAATCATAGTGGAGATCATACCAGGCATGGGGGATAGCCAGAGAGAATGTCTGGAGCATCTTGTCTGCAGAATAGCCAGGAGGCCTGTGTCACTGGATTAAAGAGTACGTGTCAAGGAATATCCACTTCAAGATGTCCTAAAGGGCTAAGCCAAGTAAGCAGTAAATCACTATCACTCTCCCTTACTGACCTCTTAAAAAATCAGAAAATAGCACCCTAGGAAAACAGTGGAGCCAGAGGAAAGACAGGGTGGAGTAGTCCCAGGAAGCATCCCAGGAAGCCAGCAACAAGCTCCACCTCAGCAAACTAGTGGGAAATCATGAGCCCCAGCACGGTGGAGCAGACAAACGCCAACATCAGGATCCCCCACTGCCTTAGCATAGCCAGGGGAAGCCAGGCAAACTGCTAGGTACAAAAGCTATCTGAAGAAAAAAATTCCTTAAAAATTAGAATTGGGCAAATGGAAACTAATGATTCTATGAGACAGTTTAGGCATACAACATGCAGAAGCAATTACGGTAACCTAATATTTAGTAAACCTAAAGACCTCAGCTACGGGGGTTTGCTGCAGTGCAATCGTCTTTTCAATCATGTCTAACTCTTTGTGAACCCATATGAGTAGGGGTAAGGACTTGCTATTGGATGAAACCTGAAAAGCAGTCTGGCAGAAATTAGGTTTGGACCAACATCTCATACCATATAGACCAAGATAAGCTCCACATGGATTCATGTCTGAAAATATAAAAGGTCACTCCATCAGCAAACTAGAGAAGCAAGGAAGAAAATACCTTTCACAACCAAGAAGAGGTAAAGAGTTCGCAACCAAATAAAGGATGGAGAGGATCACAGAAGATAAAATGGACAATGTGTATTAACATCCAATTTAAAAGCTTTTGCACAAAAAACAATGAGGTTATAATTAGAAACAGGAAACTGAGAAAAAAAATTTTTTGTAGCAAGTTTCTCTGATAAAAGTCTCACATCCAAGACAAATAAAGAACTGATTCAAACTGATAAGACTAACAGCCATTCCTCCCCAAATGGTCCAAAGATATGAATTATCAACAGCCAAATAAAAAATGCTCCAAAATCATTACTAAGTAGAGAAACGCAAATTAACACAACTCTGAGACTCCACCTCACATCCATCAGATTAGCAAAGATGCCAAAAAATAGAAAATGACAATTTTTGAAGAAGATATGAGAAAACAGGCATACTAATGCACTGGTGGAGCTCAGAAACAGTCTTGCCATTCTGGAATGCAGCATAGAATATGCACCAAAAGGTACTAAACTAAGCAGACCCTTTGGCTCAATGATATAAGCATTAGGGCTATACATCAAAGAAGGAAAGGACACATATATACAAAAATAGTCACAGTGCTGCTTTTGCTACAGCAAGGAACTAAAAACTATGGAGGTGTCCATTAATTGACAATGGCTAAACAAATTATGGTATATGAATGTAATGGAATATCATTGCACCATAAGAAATGACAAAAGGAACATTTTCTTTTCTTTTCTTTTTTAGGCAATTGCAGTTAAGTGACTTGCCCACGGTCACACAGTTAGTAAGTGCCAAGTGTTTGGTCTGAGGCCGAATTTGAACTCAGGTCCTCCCGACTTCAGGGCCAGTGCTCTATCCACTGCGCCACCTAGCTGCCCCAAGGAACATTTTCAAAGTGAACTACTGCACAATGAAGTAATCAGGACCAGAAAAATAATTTATACAACAACATAATACAATTTTTTTGGCAAATTTTTTATTTTAAACTTAAATACAAAATAAGAAAAGAAAAAAGAAACTTAAATACTAAAACTAAAATAATACAAAATAGGAAAAGAAAAAAAAACATTGCCTTGTACACAGCAGAACATGAGAGGATTCAAAATATACAGCAATAAATTTTCATTTCAAGAAAGCCTATACAATAAGTACTACACGTTGTGTTGAGACCTGTCTTTTCTTTGCTTCCTTGTAAGTTCTCTTTCGTTCTCTGCTGTGAATTTTTTACTTTGTTCTTTTTCCCACTTCCTCCTCCCCACAAATGTTACAATTAAGTGTGAAAATGTATGTGTGTATACATACACATACAAATATGCACATATATGCACAAACATATATAGACATATACAACGACATTTATATATATAATATATATATATACACACAAACACCCATACATACCATATACTTATACATACATATACTCAGATGTCAATAATCATAGTCACATGTAGATATATACATTCATATGCATCTATATAAGACCATACTGTACTCACTTATCCTCTGTTTCTCTGAGGGTGGATAACCTCTTTCTTCATAAGTCCAAGTCTTTCCATATTTTTCCAAGTCCACCAACTCATCATTTCCTATACCACAGCAATATTCCCACCTTATACTGTCTAGTTGTTTAAACGGTCCAAAATTACATTGATAAATATAGCTGACACAGCATGTAGTTTCCCTATTTTTCTCTCTTGATTAAATCTATTTTAGCCCTAACTTTGTCTGAGATCATGATTACTACCCCTGCTCCTTTTTTCCCTAACAAATTCTACTCCTGAGCTTTATGTCTCCACATTTCTCTTATTTCCTATCCCTCCTGACTTCTCTGCCTATTACTTAACCTCTCCCCTCCTTCCAAAGATCCCTCCCTTATCCTACCATGCCCATTAATCAAAACCCTTATCCTCCTCTCTAAAGATCCCTCCCTTTTCTTCTTTCCTCTCCTTATCCCCTTAAGGTTCTATTTCTTTCTGAATTTAGAAGACTTGTATACTCGTCTGAATATATATGTATTGTTCCCTCTTGAACTCATTCTTGATGAAAGTAGGTTTCTACCAGAACTACCAGCCCTCCTCCTCCATTTAATTCCTCTGTGTCGGTTCTTCCTCTCACACTTCATTTATAAAATTACTCTTTTTTAGCTGTTCCTAAATGATTTTACTTTTTAAAATCGTATCACACTCAGGTCTACCCAATTACTAATAACAATCTTAGACATACATTTTACATACATAAAAAGTAAACAGTCTGTCCTTATTGAGTCCCTTGTAATTTGTCTTTGATTTGTACCTTATTTTTCTCTTGGCTCTTGTATGTCAAACCTTCTATTAAGTTCAGCATTTTGGTGGTTTGGGGTTTGTTTTTTTTTTAAACAAAATCCTGAAAGTCTGACAACTCATTAAATATCCTTTTTTTTTTTTCATTCAGGATTACGCTTAGCTTTGCTGGGTATATTTTCAGCTGACACCCCAGTCCTTTTGCTCCTCGATACACAGTATTCCAAGACCTGTGGTCTTTTAGTGTCACTGCTGCTAGCTCTTGTGTGATTCTAATTATGGAACCACCATATTCAAATTGGTTTTTTCTTGATGCTCATAATATTTTGCCCTTGAGGTAGCGGTTTTGGAATTTGACTATGATATTCCTGTGGATTTTCCTCATAGGATCTCTTTCACGTGGTGATCGGTGCATTTTTTTCTATTTCTACTTTCCCCTCTTGTTCTAATGCTTTATTAGGACAATTTTCTTTAATTATTTCTTATATTATTGTATCAAGATTCTTTTTTTGATCATAGCTTTCAGGTCGTCTGATTATTCTTATGTTTTCTTTTCTCGATCTATTCTCCAGATCACCTGGTTTTTTTTTTCCTTTTTGGTGAGGTAATCAGGGTTAAGTGACTTGCCCAGAGCCATACAGCTAGTAAGTGTCAAGTGTCTCAGGCCATATTGAACTCAGGTCCTCCTGACTTCAAGGCCAAAGCTCTATCCACTGCGCCACCTAGCTGCCCCAATCACCTGTTTTTCTTATGAGATGTTTCACATTCTCTTCTATTTTTTCATTCTTTCTATTTTATTATTTCTTGATCGCTTATAACTGCGCTAGCTTCCCCTTGCCCAATTCTAATTTTCAAGGAGTTGTTTTCTTCCTTAAGATTCTGGATTTCCTTTTCTAATTGGTTTACTTTCTTTTCATAATCTTCTTGTTTTTCTTGGATTGTTCTCTCTTTTAAGTTTGTCCTCAATCTCTCTCATTCAATTTTTAAAGTCTTTTTAAAGTTGTTCTACGAATTCTTTTTGGGCAGGTGACTATTTGACATTACTCTTTGGGACAGAAAAGAGTTTCTCTGCTTCAGTATCCTCCTCTGAAGATGAACTCTGGTCTTCTCTATTCCCATAGTAATTCTCTATGGTTAGATACTTTCTACTTTGTTGTAGCAGCTTAGTTTTTGTAATCACCTCTAGCCCTAGGGTATGGGGGATGGTGCTTCTGGCCTCAGATTCTCCTTCAGTTCTCCCCTCTGGCCTGTAACCAAAACCAAGACTTCCAGCCTCCGGTAAGTGCTCACAGCCAGCATCATCCCTGCCAGACTGCTTCTGCACTCACCAGTTGTGTGCTGGTTCCTTCTTCCCTGGCTCAGACACCCAACTTCCCTCACTGTCCTGGGGATAAAAGTTCCTGTGACTGGAGCAGAGGCTGCCTCCCTACCCAGCTAAACCCAGAGCTTGTCTCTTGTTGTTTGAGAAGTCCTAGCCTGGAGGTGTTTACCCTTCACAAGGACCAAACCTCTTCCCAGGATTTTTCTTCAGATTTTCTGATTGTCCCAGGAGGACCAACCGTTCTGCCCCTACTCTTATTTTTTTACCACTCTATGTTTGCCCTGTGGTGCTATTTATTATCTCATTTGTGGGGGAAATCTGGAGAGTTTGGAATTTTCTGACCTACTCCACCATCTTCCCAGAATCCTCTTAACATAACTTTGAAAGAACTTGAGAACATTGAATTAATTCAATTATAAATCATGATTCCAAAGGAACAAAGATAAAACATGCTACTTACCTCATGACAGAGCTCTGATGGACTCAAGCTGCAGAATGAGACAAGTTTTTAGATAAAGTTAATGTGGGAATTTGTTTTGCTTAACTCTTAGTATTTGTTATAAGTGCTTTGTTTTTCCATTTTTTTCCCCCAATTCAGGGGTAGATGGGAGGGAGGAGCTAGTAATAGGGTGACCAAAACAACTTTTAAAAGAAAGAAAAAGATGAGTAATTGAAGCATTTTTTTTAATGCACAGAATAGAACTGGCCAGAAAGAATCAAAGAGGGCTGCTTTGAAAGTTTCATGTTGAATTGATTTTATATATATTTTTTTTTTAAAAAGCAAGCTAGGCATAATAGAGATATGCAGTTTAATGTACAATCCTCTTTTTCTGTTCTATATGTAGAAATGCTTGTTTTATTTGGTGTTAAACTCAGAATTTAAAATTAAAAAAAAACAACCAGGGAGCTATTACATCTTACTGTCTTTCCTCTTTTTATCTGCAGAAAGTTCTTCTTCCAGTGCTTCCTACACCAGGCTTCTTGCATCTTCAAGATCATGGTTACCCAGTAACAGCCTTAACACCATTAAAGTATGTAAAGTCCCCTAGAAAATCTTTAGGACCTTGTCACTGAGAAATCCAATACAGCAGGAGTGGCATTTACTGTTAATCTGGTCAGGAACCATGACAGCAGGCCCTGTTGTATACCTGAAAATTCACTATATGTGACTTAAGCTTTTTTTAATCTAACACTAGAGTCTTGAGAATTGACAATCTCATTTGTAGGCCTTCCCTCTAATTGATCTTTGACTTGTTAATACATTTATTCTCAACATTCAAAATTCTCCAGTAATACTGGCATGTTTGGATATTTCCTTATTAACTGCTAACATATTTCTCCTTATTAACTAGTAAGTGGCAATATCTCTATCATTAATCATATTTGCTCAGAGCTACCACCCAGTTTATTTGTATTTTTACTTTTAAATTCTATTAAAATAAATTAAAATTATTCAACTAAAGTTAAGTTTATTAAGACAACTAATAAAACTAAGGTTTTTTTTTTATCACTTTTAAAACTGGTGAAATTTCTTACCCTGATCCCCTAGGACTGAATAAATATTAAATTTACTGGCCATAAAAATGGCAAAACATATTGACATTATTGACAAAAATATAAATAAATATTTACAGGGTTTTAGCTGTGAGAACCATCACAGAGTGACTTCCAACCATAACTGTAACTACAGATGACCTCACCTAATTTTTGAAAACATAATTTTAACATTCATTTCAATCAAGGTGCCAAGCAAAGTAAATTCATCTCATGAATTCCCTTCATCCTCTTTCACAAGATGATTAAAATTAAAACATTTCCATCAGGAAAGAAAGCTCCTTCATCTCCTTTCTCTGTCATCTATAGTTGCTCTCAAGCCACAATTCTTCACTATCTTTTTCCAGAATCATTTCACATAAAATTCTCTATGATGTTTCTTCATAAAATAAGTTGACAGTTTCCCCATGAAAGAAGTTTTTCATCTTTTTTTCTTGTCTTCTCCACAGTTTTACTCAAACCACCGGGCAGCTAGGTGGCACAGTGGATAGTTCTGGCCTTGGAGTCAGGAGGACCTGAGTTCAAATCTAGCCTCAGACACATGACACTTACTAGCTGTGTGATCCTGGGCAAGTCATTTAACCCTGACTGCCTCACCAAAAAGCAAAAAAAAAAGGGGGGGGAAGGGGAAAAGCCACCTCTGTTGACTCTTCATTTTCAGTTTCTCAAAAACTTCCAAATTCTAAATAGTCCATTTGGCTTTTAAAGTTACAGTAACAGTAACTATAAAATCCATAGGAAAGGCTATTGAAATAGACATCACATTTAAAAGTCAATGAAAACATGTTAAGTATTTACCCAATTTTCCAGTCACCATAAGATATTAAAAACCCAGCACACAAGCACTTGGGGCTCCTCAGACTTGATGAACTTCTCCCCTGCTGTGCAAGTCAATAATCCCTTCTAACCAGGCACACCCCCTTGGGGAGCTGAAACAACTCTATATGCTTGCTGAGGAATCTTTCCATGCTGCTGAGTAAAATTCTTCTGTTAAACCTTGTGTGCTCTGTAACTGTCTCATTTTGTTTTAATCTGGAGCCTAAACCATGAGGCCAGACTGAGTCAGACCTGACCCCAAACAGACCGCCTATGTGCTGAGTGGAGGCAGTTGGAAAAGAGATGAGAGGGCCTCAAGATTTTCTGCAATAAAGCTGACCTTTCCTTCTATAAATCTTTTGTTCAATTGTTTCTTTCATGTTCAACTTTTCATGACCTCATTTGGGGGGTTTCTTGGCAAAGATACTGGAGTGGTTTTCCATTTCCTTCTCCGGCTCATTTTACAGATGAGGAAACTGAAGTAAACAGGGTTAAGTGACCTGCCCATGGTCACACAGCTAGTGAATGTCTGAGGCCAGATTTGAACTCAGAAAGACGAGTCTTCCTGACTTGAGGCCCAGCACTCTATCCACTATACCACCTAGCTGCCCCTATATATCTTACCTTCCACAATTATTTTTTACACTAGAAACAATCCCTCATTTTCTGCCCTGTCCTACACTTTACTTTTTCCTAATTTCAGACAGTAGGGCTTATTTGCTAGAATGTGATCACTTCTAAAGGAAGGAAACTAAAAGGAAGTATCTATTATCTCTTTTCTTCTCAACTTCTTTTCCCCTCTGGAAAAGGAATGGTCTGGGTGATAAGGAGCTATCTCTCAGAATAACTCCATTAGAGTTTTTGTTCTTTCAAGCTAAACAACTTAGCCAGGCCCAGCTTTATTCCTTCAAGCCAATCTACAAAAAAGATAGAATAAAAATTAAAATGGTAATTTTTTAATCCAGATAAATCAATTAATGACTTTCAAATCTGTCCCCTGTTAGTATCCTGAAAACCCAGAGATAGCCTAATTTCCCGTATACAAATATTTGCATACAATGATAGAAATAAAGAATTCAATCTCACATAGTTCAACCTTTATTAGAACAGCCTGAATCTATTCAAAGTGCCAAGTCTCTCTAAAATTTACTATCCCACATGAACTATTTCCTTGTCAGCAATACCAACATCACCATAATTGGCTCTCATTCAATGTTAGAGACCTCAGAACTCGTCTAGTCTAAATTCCCCATTTTTCAAATGACAAACTGAAGCCCAGAAAAGGAAACCAAAATGCATGGTTTTCATCTAAGCCCTTCACCAGGGCTGTCCAATCCTTCTAGTAACTGCAATACTAAGTCAAGGATCTGGTCAAGATGGCTTCTTTGACATTATATACCTGTTACAGAAAGGGAAAAAAGTCAAGAGGTCTGGGTTCTATTCCAGACCTAGAGAATATCCACAAGCAAGTCAAAACCTCTCCAAACTTCAGTGTCTTTATCTCTAAAATGGGCATGATGCTTTTAGTAACTTCTTAACAGGGTGAAGGGTAAGCTGCTTTGCTCAAATTTACAGACTGCTTTATTTTACATTTTCATTTTTCAGCACCTACCACTGTGCCTTGTAAAGAGTAGGCATGTAATGTCTCTCGAAATTAAAACTGAATTATCTGATCCAGTCTTACAATTTCTGTCCAAGCTTTATCTACTGCCTACCCTAACTCCCTGCCACCTTTCTTCTATGTCCATTCCTTCTTTACTCTATTTGTGAAGTAGTTTAATCACTGCTCATCTCCAAGCCTCCTCAGAGGACAGGAGAACATGGACAAAGCAGAGAAGGTAGGAAATAGTTATAGAGTAGCAAACTTTCAAATTCAAATTGATTTCAACAAGGTTTTACCAGCCCTTACTAACAGGTGAGCTAAAATTAATGTGGCGCCTCAGAGAGGAGCCAGAGATAGGTAATACTAGTGTTAGATCTAATAGAAAGCAGCTGTAGTACATAAGATTTGAAGTCAGAACTCCTACCATTTACCTGCTACATAACCTCTGAATCGCAGCTCCTTCATCCACAAAATGGGGATAATACTTCTTTCCTTATGAAGTTGGGTGTGTGAGGAAAATGCCTTCTCTCCCACAAAGGGCTATATGAATGTGAATGGTGATGATAATTCGAAGAAGATTAGAGATATTATTTCAGTGGTGGAAACTCCCACTCTGAAAACTACCTGCACTAATCAATACAAATCAGCAACTCATCTATAATCTGGTCTTAAAAATTTGTACTCTGAGGGCAGCAAGGGGACACAGTGGATAGAGCACTGGCCAGGAGGATCTGAGTTCAAATGTGGCCTCAGACACATAACACTCACTAGCTATGTGACTCTGGGCAAGTCACTTAACCCCAACTGCCTCACCACAAAAAAAAAAAATTGGACTCTGAGAGTACCTCCCCTCTGAGATAATTTACAATGTATATGTCTTGTATGTGACTCCCTCATTAGAGGGAGCCTTGGAGGGCAGGGAGCATGCTTTTTCATTTTTCTGTATCCCCAGAACTTAGCACTGTGCCTAGAAAATCGCAACTTAATAAACGCTTGTTGACAAATAGCTAGTATAATAATTTAAGGTTTTCAAAGCACTTTGAATATATTAAATCGTTTGATCCTCACAACAGCCCTATGAGGTAGGTGCTTTTATTATTCGCATTTTACATATGAGGAGACTGTGGCTACAAAACATTAAATGACCATGGTCACAAGAACTTATGTGTCAAGAGGCAGAAATTTAACTATGATCTTCCTAATTCCAAGACTGACCCTTTTATATACTATAGTCAGACCTTCAATAAACAAACATTTAAACACCCACTATGTGCCAGGCACCGTACTAAACACTGAGGAAACAAAGAGAAAAAAAGGCCCTGACCTCAAGGAGCTCACAGTCTAATGTGGGAGACTGTTGAAGAAAATCAACAGGAGGACGAAATGAGGAAGGAGTGCATTCCAGACATGGGGGGACAGTGAAAATTCATGGAATCAAGAGGAGAGTTTTTGTTCAAGGAACAACAGGAAGGTCAGTGTCACTGTGCTGTCTCTCATGAGACTCCAGGAGCTCACTCTCACTTCCATCAAACTCCTCTGTTTGTCTTATAAAGCCCTTTACAATCTTATCTTTTAAGGTTTACTGCACACTTCTCTCCTTCACATATTCTGTATTCCTATCAAACTGGCTTGCTTGCTATTCCTTTACAGCCCATTTCCTGGGCTCATGCTTCTGCACAGACTGTCCCTGACCCCTGAACGCTCTGCCTCCTCACCTCACTCAGCCTTGTAGAATCCCTGCCGCCCCTGGGGAGCTAGGTGGCAAAGTAGACAGACTTGTGGTCTTAAGAGTCACAAAGACCTAAATCCAAACCCAACCTCAGACACTTACTTGTGTGTGGCAAGTAAATCGATAAATCTCTTTACGCCTCAATTTCATTTATAAAATGAGGATAATACCACCTACTGCCTCCAGGGTTGTTTCAAGGGTCAAATAAGATAGCACATATAAAGTGCTTCACAAACCTCAAAGTACTATGTAAGTGCTAGCTATGAGTTCTCTTTAAAGCTCAAGTGCTCTCTCCTACAAAAAGCCTAGAAATTACTCTGGATAAATTTTTTATCTAATTTTCCATGTATACTTTGGTGTCGCCCCCACCCCACATTTTCCTCCCATCTCATTCTGGAAGGCACTGAATTTTGTTTTTCTATCTCCAGAGCCTAGCACAGTCCCAGCACACAGTATCATCATTGCTAGCATTTACATATTGATTTAAAATCTGCAAAGCACTTTATGATTATTATCTCATTTGATCCTCACAACAATCCCAGAAGGTACGTGCTATTATCCCCATTTACAGATAAGGAAACTGAGGCAAAGAGCATTGTCCAGTCACACAAATAAGTATATGTCTGAGGCCAGATGTAAACTGAACTGAATCAGGGTTATTATGTAAAGGGCTTTGTAAACCATAAAGAGATACATAAATGTGAACTATTACAAGCAACATATATTAAAAGCTATTAAAAACCCTTCAGGTTAGAAGAAGCTATTGCTTCCAATAATCACTCTATTGGTGCTTCTGAAAAGATCAATATAAATCTAATAATTCTTTCTACACCAAATCAAATAAAGGATGTTTTTATGGCTCTGCTAAAGGTGATCTCACTTGAAAGCAAATCTAATGTATGAAAATTTGGACTTCTTTTGTTTTGTAAAGTTCAAAATCAAACCTTAAGATAAAGGTTTCACTTGTAGTATGCTTTCAGCAAAAACTGTAATGCATTAAAATGGCTGTATGCAGAAATCTGACCTACCCAAGGCCTTTCAGGAATATCTATTTTCTATAGTAGTAGTTAACAGTAATAATGCCTATATTTGCTAAGCGTAAAACCATAAAAGATTGATTCACAATCAGGCCACTTCTGTTGGGCCAGAATTTCTTAATCTGAAGACCATGATTTTGCTTTGATAGCTTTATTTTAATATAATTGGTTTCCTTGGTAATCCTAAATAAACATTATTCTGAGGAAGCCTCTCTAGACTTCCCTAGTCTGCCCAAGGAGTCCAGGGCACAAAAAAGGTGACCCCCCCCCACTGCCTTAGGCTACCAAGCTCCAGTTTCCTCTCTGGACAATGGGCAAAGCATCATCTTCCATGACCTTCTGGGCTAGGGTAAGCCATGGTTGTGACTCCAGCACCTAGGGTCCCTAACTCATACAATTCCAGATGCAGCTAGGTGACTCAGCAGACAGAGTGCCTGACCTGGAATCAGGAAGACCAGAGCGCAAATTCCACCTCTAACAATGACTGTGTCCCTAGGCAAGCTTTTAATCCCACTCAGCCTCAGTTTCTTCATCTGTAAAATGGAGTGGTGGCAACAATAGCACCTACCTCGGAGGACTGTTGTGAGGCTCTAATGAGATAACATATTGTAAAGCATTTTGTAAACCTTAAAGTGTTATGTAAATGCCAACTATTGGTATTATTATTATCATAATAGGAATAGGGCAGAAGTGTCACAGGTCCGAGAAAGCAGCTCTTCCCTACTTCCCCTCCCCCACCGTTTCACATCCACTAAAGAGAGATGTAGAAGTAACAGGCATTTTGGGTCTGACCACATTCACCTGTAGGTCACCCAAACTCTCAAGGTCACAGAGTGAAAAGTGAGCCAACAACAACCTTTCAGGAACTCTCACAGCCCACTTTCCTACCAGTCAGGAACTCTGTCTTAAACACCAGCACAATGGAGAACATACAAAGCAACTCTGGCAATTTCAAGTCTTACTGAGCCACGTCAATCTTCTCCCCGTTCCCTGACCAGACTCCATCTAATGCAATTGAACAGGAACACTGGCCACCCCCAGGGCTGGAAAATAAGCTAAAAACAACCTCCTTCTGCTTTCCCCAGTTCAACCTTACTGTGCTTAATTAAAAGGCAGCCAAACTTAATCTTATTTCGTGAGATGAGACAAAGCATATGCTATACCTGCAGGCAGCAGGTGGAGGGAAATTGAAGGCAGGAAAGCAAATGGCCAGGCTTAGTAAAAAGCCCTCAAGGATGTATCCTTCTCTTTGCAGAAGGCCCTTCTTATTAATGGCAAGGATTAAATTGGATTGAAACAGATATGATAGAGATGCAATCAGCTCTTCTGAAAAAGAACAAGCCTAATGCAGTAGAATGGACACTAAATTCTGAGTCAGAAAAAATTAGGACTGATACTGGCTGAACTGAGTTAGGAAATTCAATGACAACCTCAGTTTCCTCATCTGTAAAATAGGAAATCTGTAAAGCAGGATAGTAACACTTGCACTATGTGCCTCAGAGGGATGTGAAGATGCTACATAACATTATATATGCATATATATGCTACATAATATATTATAAAATATGATGTAAGCCATTACAATTATTCAGAGAAAAGGAGGCTCCTTGAAAACATGTCAGCAGAAAATCATAGATAAAGGTCCCAGATTGCTTTGAAAGAGAAGGCAAAGCAGAGGATTTGGCTCTCAGATACTGAGCTCCTGAGAAGGAATAGGCTCAGTGCACCATTTTCTAAGATGTTAAGGACATCGAAAATTAAAATATAGACTCAAACCAATAAAACAGAAATTCTCTGAGGCAGATTTTGCTTCTTCGTCTTTGTGCCACAAGCACTTAGCACACACACAGCGTTTAAGAGATGTCTGAATTGAACTGGACAGCACAGTTAGCATACTTAAGTCTGCCCATCACCTCTCATCCCGGACACCCACTGACAAAAAGTAGAATGAGGCAAGTGATATAATGGAAAGAAACCTGGGACTTGTAATCTAGAGAGACTGGATTAGAGCCTCATAACCCACCTCTGGCACTTATTCTAATTGTGCTGACTGAATAGGAAAAGAGATATAAGGCTGGAAGGAACCTCAAAGGCTATCCAATCCAACCTCCTTATTTTGCAGTTGAAGAAGTCAAGGAAGGTTAAGTGATTTGGCCAAGGTTACAAAGACAATTGTCAGAGGCAGAAATCAAACCTATGTCCTCAGATCCTAGGTTACTCAGTAGTATTCTACTTTACTTCTCTGCCTTATAGTGTGACCATGGACAAATCATTTAACTACTCTGTGCCTCAGTTTCTCCTTCTAGAAAACTATGAAGACAATATCTAAGCACTAACCTCACAGGTTTTTTGGGAGGAGAAAAGAAGATAGGCATGCAAAACGCTCTGCACTGATCCCACTGCTGTCCCCTGAATTATTTTAGTCCATCTTTTAGACATTCCATCTTTGGAATCCAAGCATATTCACTAGCTGGCCCCCACACCTGGAATGCTCTCCCTCAACTGACTTCCTTGGCTTCCTACAAGTCCCAGCTCAAACCTCACCTTCTAATGAAGACTTTCCCAATCCTTCTTAATGCTACTGCCTTCTTTCTATTGATTATTTCCAATTTATTCAATATACAGTCTGCACGTAGCTGTTTGTAGGTTGTCTCGTCCATTAGACTGTGAGCTCTTGGAGGGCAAGGACTGTCTTTCATCTTTTATCCTCAGCACTCACACTGTGACTGACACACAGTGCGTAACTAATGCTTACTGACTGACTCCATAAAAATACCAGCTCTTTTTATTGGAGGATCTGATTTCTGCAACCTGTTGACTTACAGAACTTCCAAAGTGCGGTGTGTTCTGGGAACATCTCTGGGAAGCATGTTCCCAGGGAAGAGGTGCGGCCGAAAATAACAAGGCGACTCCACCTTGCAGCAGCAGGTGCCTCTTCCTCAACATAATCCCAGGTGATGGGGAGGGAAGGCGTTTTAAACAACAGGAAACGGAGGCCCTGGCCGCCCAGGACTGCACGGGGGCTCCGGGGAGCGTGGGAAGCCACTCACTCCTCGGACCCCGTGCAACGTATTCCCTCGAGGCTGCCGAGCCCGAGTCATCCCCGACCGAGCTCTGGAGTGGGAAGGGCGCGCCGGCCACGTCAGGGCCGCTCCCCTCTACCCCCCGCCGCCGTCCCCGGGCACCGGGGCACTGCCCGCTCCGCTCCGCGCCCTGCCCCGGGCTCGCGCCACCTACCTGAGCCCGCGCAGCCCCGGCGAGGGAGGGTGGGAAGCGGACACTGAGCCCGGACGCACGGTGGGCCGGCAGCGCCCGCGGAACACCGGCGGGACAGTCCAATGCGCACGCCGCCGCTCCGCGAGCTTCTCCTCCCGCTTCCTCGTCAGCGCTGAAGCTGCTCTGCCGGCTGCGCGAGCCGCCCAGCCTCTTATGCGAGTGCGCGCGCGCGCGCTAGCGGCGCCGTGGCGTTGCCCCGGCAACTGGAGCCGGAGCAACGCCGCTCTGGGAAGGTGGCTGGGAGAGGCCGGAAGGGAAGGTGGAAGGGGGCGGAGTTCTCCTCCTCCTTCTCACACCCCCGCCTCCTCCTCTCTGCCCTTTGGCCATTTCTGGAGCTAGGGCCCGCGGCTTAGGCACTGCCAGGAGACGGAGGACCCGACCATCCATCTCCGAGATCCCAAGAGCCATTATCATCATCATTATCAATATTATTATTATTATTATCACTGTCGTCATTATCATAGATAATAATAATATAAGAATTTATATGCTGTTTTACAAATAGTTTATCTTCGCAACCCTGAGAAGTGAGACCACATTATTATCCCTATTTTACAGATGAGGAAACTGAGGCAGGCAACGATTAAATGACTGGTCTAGGGTCACACAACTAGTGAGTGTCTTAGACCGGGTTTGTATTAGGGACTTCCCGGCTTTAGCCATTTTACCCGGACTGCTTTCTTTTAACACCTGCCTACCACGTGCAAACTTAGAGGCATGCAAAGATGTATTAGAACAATATCTCTGGCCTCAAGTGGCCTTACAATCTAGTTGGGGTGCGGGACCCTGGTCTCCTTCTCCCCTACCCCTCAAGCCTCACCATTTGTCTTCCTCTGCCTCTTGATTCCCTTCTTCTCACTCCCTTTCCCCTTGGGTCCTTGGGGCCTCAACTCACTGAACAAGGGCTGTGGCACAGGATGCATTTCAGGGACTATAGTCACAGCAACTATGACAGCCACCAGTCACTCTTGATCTAGCAGTTTCAGAAACCTAATTTCTTAGGCCTGTGTTTCCTGGTTTGGCATCCACTTCTGTGCTCTTATCCAGTCTGTATTCCCGTGACCCTGGGCAGCATCTGCTGAGGCTTTCCTTCAACTGTTGTTATTAATAATTTAAGACTGTTCCTGTGTGTGTGGACCCATATTCACTAGTGCTCCAAAAAGATGGAAGCCCTGAATGGCTCACCAATTCCATTCTTTTGTGGGGAGGAGGGAGTGGTAGAGACAAATATCTAGAGCAGCAGGGGAAAGGAGGACAGAAACAGAGCCCTCTCCCAGTCCCCACAGTGCTAAATAAAAGAATGGGGGTGAAGGAGAGTGAAGGTGATGTTGAGAAGGATGAAGCTGTTGGAAAGTCTTAGTTTAGATTTGAGAGGAGACCAGTAAACAGATCTGGATGTGTGGAGTGGTTGAAGGGAATAAGCTGAGAGTGAGGATAGGTACAATCAATCTTCACCTTGCATAGTTCTCTTCTATTCCTTTTCTTTCCATTTCTCTATTTCCTCTTTGCACTTAGGGATTATCTTCCCTTTCCCTCTATATTTTCCCTCTCCCCTACATTCCCTTTCTGTCTTCTCCCACCTCCCTTTTCCTTCCATTACTCTGTTCTCTTCCTGGACCTCTTCTTTCCCACTCTCAGATAGCCAGGGGCAGCCAGGGGAGTACTGATAAATGTTTAATAACCAGCTGCATAGAGGGAGGGAAAAGTATATAGAACACACCTTTAAGCTTGATCTGCATTATTCATATTTTCTGTATGACTTCCTTAAGTCTAGACAATTGACAAAATAATAAATCAAACCTTGATTTGTGGCATTTTCTGATTTCCAGACTATCATACAGAAATTTTAACAATGAGCTCTCCAAGAACTGGGTTGAACTAGCTTCAACACACACCTCTGGTACAATTCTTTTTTTTTAAAGTTATTATTTATTTATTTTTTGCAATTTTTTTCATTTTTAAATTTTAAGTTCCAAATTCTCTCCCTCCCTTCTACCCTGTCCCCCACCCACTGAGAAGGCAAGCAATATGATATCAATTATACATATGAAATCATGCAAAACATATTTCCATATTAGTCATACAGCAAAAAAAAAAAAGCAAAAAAGCTTAAGTGAGAAAATTATACTTCAATTGGTACTCAGAGTTCATCAGTTCTCTCTCTGTGGGTGGATAGCAATGTTTCATCACGAGTTCTTTGGATTTATCTTGGATCATTGTATTAATCAGAATAGCCAAGTCTTTCACAGTTGATCATCATTTCAACACTGCTGTTACTGTGCACAATGGTCTCCCAGTTCTTCTCACTTCACTTTGCATCAGTTCATATAAGTTTTGCCATGTTTTTTCTGAAATCACCCCTTTGTCGTTTCTTATAGCACAACAGTATTCCATCACAATCATAAGCCACGGCTTATTCAGCCATTCCCAATTGATGAGTATCCCTCAATTTCCAATTCTTTGCCAACACAAAAAGAGCTGCTATAAATATGTCTGCATATGTGTGCGTGTTTGTTTGTGTTTGTGTGTGTGTGTATGTGTGTGTCCTTTTTCTTTAATCTCTTTGGGATACTGACCTAAGAGTGGGTCAAAGAGTATGCATGGTTTTATAGCCCTTTGGTCATAGTTCCAAATTGTTCTCCAGAATGGTTGGACCAATTCACTACTCCACCAGCAATGCATTAGTGTACCCATTTTCCCTCATCTCCTCCAGCATTTGTCATTTCTGATGGGTATGAGGTAATACCTCAGAGTTGTTTTAATTTGCATTTCTCTAATCAATAGTGAGTTAAAGCATTTTTATATGACTTTAGATAGCTTTGATTTCTTCTTCTGAAAACTGCCTGTTCATATCCTTTGTCATTTGCCATTTGTCAATTGGGGAATGACTCTTATTTTTATAAATTTGACTCAATTCTACATATATATTTGAGAAATGAGGCCTTTATCAGAGAAACTTGCTATATAAATTTTTTATATTACTTCATTGTCTATGGTACCTTTAGCAAAATATATTATCTCTTTTTAGCAAAAAGATTATCTCTTTTAATTAGGTCTATTTTTGCTTTTGCTTTGTCTGAGATCATGATTGCTACCCTTTCCTTTTTTAAATTTAGCTGAAGCATATTAGATTCTCCTCTAGCCCTTAATTTTTAACTCTGTGTATGTTTTTCTGTGTATATTTTTAACTTGTGTATGTTTCAAGTGAGTCTCCTGAAAACATATTGTTGAATTCTGGTTCCTAGCCCATTCTGTTATCTGCTTCCATTTTATGGGTGAGCTCATCTCAGTCACAATCACAGTCACGATTACTAATTGTATTTCCATCCATTCCATTTTCTTCTCTTTATGCTTCTCTCTCTTTTTGTCCTGTCCCTCCTCAAAAGTCTATTTTGCCTCTACACACTGCCTCCATTAACCCACCCTCCCTTTTATCATCCTCATTTTTTCTATCCTTTTCCTCTCCTGTTTTCCTATTAAGTATGCTAGATTTCTATATTCAACTGAGTGTGTATATCTACATATGTATGTGTGTGTATTCTTCCCTCTTTGAACCAATTTAGAAGGAAGTGAAGTTCAAGTATTCGTGCCACTCCTCCATTTTCCCCTCCACTGTAAGAGCTCTCCCTCTTTTATGTGAGAAAATTTTCCCCATTCTACCTCCCCCTTTCCCCTTCTCCAGTACATCCCTCTTTATCACCTCTTCATTTTTTGGGAGATCATTCCAATATAATCAACTCATACCTGTGCCCTCTGTCTATGTAAACTTCTTTTAACTGCCTTAATAATGATAAAGATCTTAGGAGTCACATGTATTATCTTCCCATACAGGAATATAAAGAATTTAACTGTATTGAGTCCCTTCTGATTACTCATTCATTTCTCTTGTGTCTTGTGTTTGAATGTCAAATGTTCTATTCAGCTCTAGTCTTTTCATCAGGAATGCTTGAAAGTCTTCTATTTCATTAATTATCCATTCCCCACACCACCACTACCAAAGGATTACACTCAGCTTTGCTGGCTATGTTATTACTGATTCTAATCCTAGTTCCTTTGCCTTCTGGAATATCATATTCCAAGTTCTGCTCCTTAATCTTGTGTGATCCTAACTGAGGCTCCACAGTATTTGAATTATTTCTTTCTGGCTGCTTTCAATATTTTCTTCTTGAGCTGGAAGCTCTGGAATTTGGCTATACTATTGCAGGGAGTTTTCATTTTGGGATCTCTTTCAGGAGATGATCAGTGGATCATATCAATTTCTATTGTGCCCTCTAAATCTAACATATCAGGGCAATTTTTCTTCATAATTTCTTGAAAGAATATGTCTAGGCTTTTTTTTATCATGACTTTCAAGTAGTCTAATAATTCTTAAATTATCTCTCCTAGATCTATTTTCCAGGGCAGCTGTTTTTCCAATGAGATATTTCACATTTTCTTAATTTTTTTTTCATTCTTTTGACTTTGTTTTATTGTTTCTTGATGTGTTATGGCTTCCACTTGCCCAATTCTAATTTTTAAGGAATTATTTTCTTCAGTGAGCTTTTGTACCTCTTCTTCTTTTTAACCAATTCTGCTTTTTAAGGAGTTCTTTCCTTCAGTGAATTCTTGTGCCTCTTTTACCAAGCTGCTAATCCTCTTTTCATAATTTTCTTGCATCACTCATTTCTTTTCCCGGTTTTTCCTCTACCAATCTTATCTCCTTTAACTCTTCCAGGAATTCTTGTTGTGCTTGGGTCCAGGTCTTCCCCAGTCTTTCTGTATAAAAGTGTCCATCTTGCTCCCATTAAATTACTCAGATTCTTAAAATCTGCCCTGCTTCTATTGACAACACATTAAACCTTGTCTCTGGCTGAAAGAAGGCTTGAGTGGTCAAATTCTTTCAAGGCAGACCCTCACCCTTCGCCCTTGCATTTCAGGTTTCCCAGCACCCTTAGACCAAAACATATGGTTACCTGACCAAGAAGCTGCCTAACCTCAAGTCCTTCTCCAGCCAAGACCGTAAGGTATGCAAGCCTCTCCCCTCTCTCCCTATCTCTCTCTCACTCTGCAGTTGGGGTTGCTGTCCAAGTACCCAGGAAGGCTTGGAGGTACTTTTCAGGCCTGAGCTCTCAGGTTCCACTTGGGTCAGACAGTTACTAGGCT